ATATGAGCTGCAAGTAAACAATGTGAGGAAAACAAGAGTTGAGTGTGGAAAGTAAAACTCCCTTATTACTTCTGACAAATTGTGCTGTGCTAGAAGTGAAAATCTCTATGGCAGCTGCTATATTGGTCTTCCAGAATTTGACAAATCTTGAGCCTAGTTATTAAAAGATATTCTCACTGTATATTACTGGACTGAAGAAGTTGAAAACAACGATGTCAGATGTTTTTGCGTTTCTAGGACAGTGCATGAAAGATGACATTGATTAATCTTCATGTCCTTTGACATGAGACATCTCTACATGTCAGATGGCTGTAGCTGTGTTAAGGGCAAAGGCACAGCATTTTCCTGTTGAGGACAGTTTTGTCAGACACTGACACCGATGTTGGCGAGTCTCTAGGGTGAAATAAGGAGCTCTTCAGAGCATCTTGGCTTTTGCTAAAGGTTTGAATGTTTGCAAGCACAGAAGTGCTGAAACCGCAAGTGTATTTTATGTCATGCTGGGTGACAGTGGCTTGCCAAGGAGCAAATGGAAAATGCCAGTTTGCCATAAAAAGGCTAGAAAGAATGTGGATAATTTTTAATGTGCCAAGAAGAGATGATGAGTTGCATCTTTCAGAAATCCATGGGAGAGATGGAACATACAAACCAAAGGACTCAAAGTGCCATAAAGAAATATATAGCTGCCCCTGGAAGAAGAGACAATATGAGATGCCTTTACTGCTTGAGGTTAACACAATGGCATTGCGCTGGCTTTTCCATTCCTTTTCTCACTTCAAATACAGTGTCCAAAATAAAGACTGCAACAATGTGATCATAATTTACATGTTACAACCAACATGTGGCTACTCTGCCTTGTGGTGAGGCTAGTGGGGAGGGAACGTGGCTACTGGCCTCAGTGCGTATGGAGAGGCACTGCTATAGGACGTGCCATGCTGTCAAAAATAAGTCATCTTCCTGATCTGATGTTTGCTGCCAAGTGACCTCTGTCCAGTGCTTTGGAGGAGGGAGAAGCATTGTTCAGTCCTGGTGAACACAGGCTGGTGCCGGAGATGCATTATCTCGAATGTGGCTTTCAGCCTGAGCTGTGGCTGTTGCCAGTCCTTGTCCAGCGTTACCCCAGTTCATAAGATGACGCAGTGCACTCTGTTCAGGAACTTCGTCAGTGTGTGTTTGCACGTGCACACATCATCATCATCATACTAATAGCAGTGGTAGTAGTAAGAATTAACAATACCTTTCTGTGCCCTTCACATCTGGTTCTTATGAGCGTTAAAAATGGAATTCTTTTTTCTTATACTTCCTGCTGGCGTGACACTGATGAGACACCGTCAATTTCAATGGAAATGAACACCAGGGGGAATATTTGCCTCAAAATAATTTTCTTCCCCATCTGATAGTGGAAGGAATAATCTATTCTTTGATCTTTGGTTGGCAAACTTGAAAATTGGAAAGGAAGATGAGTGTACTCTAATAGCTTTACTCTACTGATGTGTGTAGTCAGTGTTTTCTGGGCTTTTAAGTAAAGGTGGGTGTGCGGTGAGACATGGAGAGGTAGGAGCCAAAATGCAAGGAGTACTGCTTGTGTAATAACCTCATAACTGACAGCTCAGGGAGTGGTGCCCTACAGATCCATTTTTTGCTGGTTTTAGTTCATACTGGTACCGTCCCTGCAATTATGCAAATGTTAATATCTAAGTTAGTGAATCGATCAGCTCCAGATCAGTTACTATGTAATGGATAACATGTAGCTGATACTTGACCATGAAGAAAAGTTTATTCAGAACAGGGTGCTGCCTTTTCTGTGTCAAATATTGGAGGTGTCTCGCCAGCCCCTGTATCCCTGTTCTGTATTTAGCAGGGGACGATGAAGCAATGAAATGCGAGACATCTGTCTTCAGCTAAGAGCTTTGGTGATGCTGGTCTTGTGAAATGCTTGTATCTCAACTAGGAAAAAAATTATCATTTGTTTATAAAGGAACAAAAATTAGCAACATTAGTAGGTGTTGATGTTTCTGTGTAAGACACGCTACAGGAGAGACTCTAAACCAGAGGTTTTGTTTATTATCTCTCCTGTGAACTCGCTGTTGTAATGTCTAGGCACCTTAAAAATATTTATTAATGTGTCCTCAAAGGAAAGTGAAATTTATATAGTGGAGACGCGAAGTGGTGTTAAAGGAATCAACTTTCCAAAGGCTTCTGCACAGTTATACTGTGACAGAACTGGGACAGTAAATCAGATCATTGCGTCCCAGTTGGTAAACAAGCCATCATCCCATCTTCTTATTACTTACTTTTGCCTTGGCTGCTTTCCAAGTAATTTAGTGCTTTCCTTTATGAAATGCAAAAAACTTTTATTTGTAAGGAACTGCATTTTTTTTTTTGTAACTTCACACATAGGTGGGCCATGCACAGACTGATGGCTGAGAGGGGGTCGCAGTTAGCTGCAGGGAAGGAGCAGAAAGGATTAAACTCAGTTTACACTCTCACGTTACAACCTGCCCTGGTCTTGCTCCCCAGCTGCCGGGAGTGTCCAAGCATCCTGTGGGAGCCACCCGTGCTGGGGAGCTGATGCTTAGTGTGATGGGGTGAGGCTGCAGCACCCAGCTTGTCAGCGGAAAGCCCGGAACGGTGCTTCCGTGGTGGGATGCAGCTGCCTTCGCGTTCCTCTCCCCGCCAGCATGCACACCGCTGTGGCGGGGCAGCTCGTCTGCTCTCTGCAGCTTCCTCTTGCAGACAAGCCCGTAGTGGAACGGTTCCCTGCATTTACTGTCGTGCGCTGGTGAGAGGTGCTTATTTCTCTGTGCTCCGGGTGATACTGGTCTTCTCCACTCAGAGGCTGTGGAGGAGGTGTCGGGGTACTGGCAGCGTCCCTCATGCAGCCGGGGAGGCAAAACTGTACTTGGGCAGGGCCAGAGGGCATGAGCAGGTGGCTAATTCTCTCTTCCTGGGGTTCTAAAGGCTTTTGCAAACCTCTTTGAAGTCGGTGACGGACTTCTGTTGCTGCAACGGGCTTTGAATGGAACCCCAGAGCTGAGCTGATTTAGTGGGTGCGTCAGTCTTTTGTTAGCTGGTGCGTGAACGTGAAACGGTGCTGAGCCAGCCTTCAGAGAATAGACATGTTGAGTGTGCAAATTCACACACCGCTCCAGATCTCTTTCAAAGCAATATGGCTGTGGATGTATGTTGAAATGCCCCCCGCCGCTGTGTTGCGGATATGTTCAGCTTGGGTCGTGTATGTGGGTTTTGTTTGTATGTGGTTAGCTGGCACTACTAGCTCTGAGGTTTTCTTTCAAGTTATTCTACTGTACTTTGGGGAACTCAGCACTCATCACTAATAAAATAAAGCAAAACACTGGTAAGTCTTGCCATGTTAACTGTTCTAGTGGTTGTGTTTCCCACTGTTCCAAAAAATATAAAGCTTTATAAGATTTAATATATTCCCAGTGCAAAGCGTGAATATTTAGAGGCAAAGAATAAAACTTCTCATTTTGAAATGTCAGTGCTACAAAATTGCTTTTTTGACAGGCGTCATTAAGCCACGTGGACTTCCAGTAATGTTTTGTAAGCTTTTTTTCTTAATTATACCTTAATTTAGGTCTCTAAGTTTAGCAAAATCTATGAAGCTTGCGGCAAAATATTTTTCTTGGGAAAAACTTTGTGTGGAATACAAATCCTCTGTTCCTTCTGGATATGATTCCTTAAATGTGTTTAAATGTGGAAATCCCATATTTTTTTCTTCGCATTTCATAAAGCACATACAAAATTAAAATAGCTGCTAGTGAGTATTTAATACAGAGTTTTGAAGAAATTAGTTTGGAAAGTGCATGTGATTACTTTTTTTTTTTCCTCCAAAGGCCTTGAGTAAAATGTACATGAGTTTATAAGACGTCAAGCAAGAGGCACAAGATTCTGTCTCAAGCAGTTACTGCTGCAAGAGACAAATTAGAAGCAATTTTACTTTCATTTAGTTGTTCTTAAATTCATCATTCTGACAACAGCAATAAATAGAATAATCTGCATAATTGTATTTCTGTGGCATTGATCTGTCTTTTCTAGAGAAAATCCCTTTTCCTGGATAAAATAATCTTCCACTCAGCTCTAAGTGGATAAAAGCCTCTTTAGCTGCTGCACTGATTTAGGGGAATGTTTCTGCATGGGCTTAATACAGTTTTGATAGGGACCTCAGAGTAAATTTGATTTTTGATGAACCAAGTACAGTAAGGGCACTAAAGCCATCTTGCTTTCCTGTGCAGATTGGATAACAGGATATTTACTCAAAAGAGCTAGGCAGAAGAGCACAGAGATTATATGATTAAACTAAGGTAGATTTTTACTAGGTTTGTTTTTAACAGCATATTTTCTTAAATTAATGTAATAAATGTCTTAGCCCTGCTCAGAGATAGAGTTTTGAATAGCTTTGAGCTATTCGTGGCTTTACAACTTAAGGAGAAACTGCGGCAGTGGTGATCATTTCGGAGAAAAACCTTGAAACAGTTGAAAGTCCTCTGCTGTGATTGTGCTCTTCTGACCCCTGCAGCCCTGCATTATCAGACTGGGAATGTCTCAGTCACCCTAGTATTAATGTCTTAAATATTATGCCAATAAGACACCTGAATAAAGTAGAAGGCAAAAAAAGCGGTTAGCATCACCGCTCCCTGGGGCCTGCTCCTCTGGCACTTAGACTTGCTCACGTGAGCTCAGAGGTGCAGTCATGGGCTTTTGAGCTGGGCTTTCCTGGGCAGCTGAAGAGAGTGAAATCCCTTGAAACTCAGAGACTGAGCATTTTTAGTATCTGGGCTTCGAATGGTGAAGTTAGCATCTGAAGAAGCGTGTGTCTGGAAAGCAGTCTGAAAACTGTTTTACTGAAGATGATGGTGAAATTGGGGGGTTTGCAGGGGACAGGGGGTGTTTTTCAAGATGAAGGAGGTTCTCTGGGGTGGCACAATGAAGCAGTGCCAGCCTGCTGTCTGTGTTTCACCTATATTTGCTCTTCTTTGCAGGTTACATATTTGGGTAAGGTTTCCACAACAGGGATGCAGTTTTTGTCGGGCTGCACAGAGAAACCAGTCATTGAATTGTGGAAGAAGCACATGCTTGCCAGGGAGGATCTTTACCCAGCTAATGCCCTTCTGGAAATTCGCCCTTTCCAGGTCTGGCTGCATCATCTGGACCTCAAAGGCGAGGCGACAGTCCACATGGATACCTTCCAGGTAGCACGTATAGCTTACTGCACTGCTGACCACAACGTCAGCCCAAACATCTTTGCGTGGGTCTATCGGGAGATCAACGATGACTTGTCCTACCAGATGGACTGCCATGCTGTGGAGTGCGAGAGCAAGCTGGAGGCCAAGAAGCTGGCCCATGCCATGATGGAGGCCTTTAAGAAGACTTTTCACAGCATGAAAAGCGATGGCCGGATCCACAGGAACAGCTCGTCGGAGGAAGTGTCTCATGGGTTTGAATCTGACGATGGCTGACTGATCTCGCTCACTGTTCAGCAAAGGCAGAAACGGCCTAGGGAATGAGAGCTGATAGATGAATAAACAACAATTGGAATCGGGGAATGGAAGGACTGCCAAACGCTTGTCTGACCAGCTTTTTAAATCAAAAGAGCAATTCAGTACCTACAGATATGCATCATTAAAGTAATTGCATTGCATTGAAATCTGCTGCTGTTGTAAAAGTGAGAAAAAAGCTCCCTCCCCCATCTCTCTCACCCGCCCTTTTCTGTCCAGTTCTCGTCTCTGTGTAGTTTGGGTGCGTACCATGAAGTAGAGTCCCTCCTATTTGTCTTAGAAGATTGGTCAGGCAATTCTATTAGTTGCTCCTCTGGTATTCCTGTCTGGCCGCTGATGTTGATGCACAAGAGCAAGTAGACCTGCAAAGTCGTAATGATTCCCGAAGAATCTTTCTCCATGATGCCTCACAAAAAATCCTTTGACCGTGCGTAGGCTCAGACATCCATATCGTAGCCTTTTAGACTAATGGCCTGGCATTCTGCAGTTAATTCACATTTCACAGATAAAAAAAGAGAGAAGATGCTTGTATGTACACATTATATCGTATGCTATCCTTTATTTTATTCATTGTACCTATTTTCTTAATATACCTGCTACCATGTCTTTCATCCAACACCAGTAGTTGCAGGTTCAGATTATATGCTGCAGGATACCAAAAAGGGGTGGGCAAAGATACTCCGTGGTGGCTGGAGGTAGAGTGAGCCAGCACCATTCTCCGTGCATTTTCCAACGCTGATGTTCCCCGCGAGTTGCGGGGCGCAGAGAGTTGAGGGACACCTGGGTCCGTCAGTGTTTGAACTGTGACTTCTCATCAACCTCAGGTCTGAAGCAAGGTGTGCGTGATAGCCTCAGCTCCCTGTTTCTGGTCTCTGCATTGCTGGTGGAGCTGGCAGTGCCTCGACGCACAGCCAGAGCCACGTTACTGTGCTTAGGACAGTCCTTATGGTCCTTAGGAGTCAGGCTGGAACATCTCTTCTGGTTGAGAAGCTCATGTTAAGATTCCCATATCTTTCCTTGTTCACAGATATACAGAGTCCTGCCTTTCTTAAATGCAGATGTTTAATAAAAATCAAACAAATGGAAAAACTTGTTTCACTTCATGTTTTTTAAGGCCGAGAGCAGATCGCTAGTTTGCGAACCATGCTGCTCCTTTATATGGTTTTGTTTGTAACTATGGTAATGTTGGGGCACTAGGGCACCTTACAGAGCCTTAAAAGAAAGCACCTAGCCAGAAGCAGCTCTGTTTTGTGGGTCTGGGTTTGTGTGTGAGTGTATGTGTGAGTCCAGTGTTAAAGCACATAGATTAAGCATGGAGACATATGGAGGAGGGCCCACACCTCTCAAAAATATGCTTGTTGCTTTACAATGTATGTAAACTATTCTCCAGCATAAATGCATTCATACTTTAATAAAAAATACATTTTGAATTACAGCTTGGGAGTTTTAAGCTGTCTTTCCAGTGCAAGCTCTGTGGTTTCGTTTTATGTGTGCAGGTTCTGTGTTCATTTTGTTTAGCGGAATGAAAATATTAATTTATTTCTATTTAATATGACATCTGTCTCCATGAGAATTTTCTTTAATATTTTATTTCTTTTTAACTTTGCTCCGTGTGCCCTGAAGTGGTGTCTTGCTACTCCCCTTGTCATGTCTGTGACTGGCAGCATCTGCCAGCAGGAGCCCTGGGCGATGGTGCTTCTCACTGCCATAGCCCACAGCTGCGTGGTGGTACCCAGCACAGGAATAACCTGGGAATTTAAGCTGTTGTGTCTGCTGATCATTGTCTGTGGTGATGCTCTGTGTCAGGGCATAGCGTCGTGCATTGGTGGCAGCGCCATGGTGCACTCGCTCAGTGATGGGGGATGCAGCTTGCTCGGTTTTGGTTTTAGACTGTCACATTTCATGGCCTGGTGTCAGAGAGTCACAGAATCACAGGATGTTGGGGGTTGGAAGGGATGTCTAGAGATGCCCCAGTGCCCCCCCCTGCCAGAGCAGGGTCACCCAGGGCAGCCACACAGGAACGCGTCCAGGCGGGTTTGAAAGTCTCCAGAGCAGGAGACTCCACACCCTCTCTGGGCAGCCTGGGCCAGGGCTCCGGCACCCGCACAGTGACAAAGCTCTTCCTGATGTTGTGGAACCTCCTGTGCTCTAGCTTGCACCCATTGCCCCTTGTCCTATCATTGGACATTGCTGAGAAGAGCCTGGCTCCGTCCTCCTGACATTTGCCCTTACATAATTATAGCCATGAATGAGGACACCCCTCAGCCTCCTCTTCTCCAAGCTGAAGAGCCCCAGCTTCTTCAGCCTTTCCTCATCAGGGAGATGTGTGTGCAGATGTCCTGGTTTGTTGACCTTGCACTCACTGACAGTGGATCGGGGAGTTCTCACAAAGGTATTTGATTCTGTGGCATCTGCAATAATTCTTCACCGTTTGGAGGCTGCGGATTACATGAGAATTTCAGCCATAAAAATAGAATACATAGCAGAAAATTCTAGTCCTTATAATTAGAAAATCAGACCCTTTGATACATGAACCAGTTTTCTAAGGGTTCAAACGTGCAAGGGAATATGAGGGAATATGAACTCCAGTTTGTCTTAGAAAACATGAGATGAGAAAAATAATTAATATCATGAGTTTGAATCCTTAGATAATTTGGAATTCAGGCCAAATCCCTCTGCATTATCAATACCAAATGTGTGATGCCATTTGCATGAAGGAGAAAAGCTTTTGCTCCTAAATTGCTGGCATATCAGCTATCACTGAATATCAGTCGCCAGCAGATACCGGAATGAAACATCAAGTTAAGCTTTTCCTTCAGTTAATCTGTTGGAAAAGAAAAATCATAAAGTTTCCATCAGGAGTCACTTCCAGTTGGCTAAAGACTTTCCTTTTGAACTACAAAGAGCCCAGTTTTGGATCTCACTGCAGCCCACTGTGGGTTGATGAGTTCCTTCAGCATCAGCCAGGAAAACACGTAAAGTTTCTTTCCCTCTTCTATTTGTAGGGGAGAGTAAAAAAGGGTGTTATTAGAACTGCAGTAAAAGTAGGGAGTGTTTAGGTCGTTACACTTCATCATCAATGTACATCACTGGTGTTTTGTCAAGGTGTTTTTCATAACTTTTCTAACATAAGAAGAAGGAAAGTTTTAATTCTGTGTAGAGTGAGTTTGTTAAGTTTTCAAGCTCTGAAGATAAATGCTTTCCGTTCATACCAAGTCTGCTGTGGAGCTGTGGGCGAATGATTGTGGCTCAGGGGTGGTTGTGCTGCGGGAGGGGCAGCACCGCACGCTAGCGAGCTCTGGTTGCTGCAGAATTGCTTAGGTGTGTATGGAGGGGTTTTTGCCTGTGAAAAAGCAGAAAAGCAGAGAGTAATTTCTTTCATCTTTAAACTCAAAGGCCCCTAATAACAGCTTAATGTTTTGTTTTCTTTAAAAAACACCCAAAACACAACGAAACAAACACACAAACAACAAAAAAAAAAGCCCTCTGCAGCTGGTTCTACTCCCTAACTTTCCAGCACCGATATGCGGTTGGAGACTCTGTAATCGGTTCA